ACCAAGTTTTGATCGTGACTCGGAGCTAGAACGGCCACCGATAGTGGAAAAGCCCTTGCTTGAGTTGAAATATGAGATGCTACAGAAGAATAGAGCAGGAATTTCAATTGACAGGCAGGCGCTCGCCGCTGGTAGTAGGTGGCAGTATGCCGCAGACGGAAGGAATAGTTTAAGCCTTCCACATTCAACGTCAACGTTGTACTGGAAATGGAACTCTTGACCTTGATCAGATTACAGTTGTCTGTTCCTAGTTGGGACCCCACTTTCACGAATCACCATGATATTGCAACTGACTGGTCTTGAGCGCTCAATTGTTTGAAAATGGAAATAGCTGGGCGTTAAAACACTTGGCTCAGCAGATTATGTAATTTCCTTCCCATCTCGATGCTCAGGTCGATGAAGGGGAATACGAGTTTGACATGGCTCCCAATCCACATGTCAATGGAGGATTGAAGAATGCCATAGACTCGGTCGCTGCTGTATGTCCAGCTCTTCACCATGCCGTCCCGGATGCACCGAAAACACGACTATTTTACGAATCTGCATCATACAAGCAGTACGTCAGCGTGAATTGGGCCTTTGCTTGACGCATAGCAGAGGTATGGAAGGAAGGCGATATCGGTTCGTGTGATGTTGCGGCTCTCATCTCAATTCTTTTGTTGAACGATGATTTTATTGCAGTATGGATAAACGACTATCTCATGCTAAGGAGTTCTGGGCTGATACCAAACACCACGCATCAAGGATGATGTTGTGTAAATATAATCATTTATTACTAGGTTTCTTCCTCATGTTGCCTTCATGTTGCCTTCCCGTCCTCTGAGATCTTTCGCTGTCTATCTGTCCGGGAAGTGTGTACAGCTTCAAGTTGGGCAGACGTGTTCGGAGCTTCTGGACTAATCATGGACGAGGGACGTCTCAGGGGACACGATAGATAATTAGAGGGCTCTCATTCTCATTGGAATTCCATGCTCTTCCACTCTCGGTGTACCACCAACCTCTCAATGCCTCGCCTCGTTATTGTCAAAAGGAATAAGATTCCGCCTTTGGTAGACTACCCTGCGACTTACGGATGATCAATTGATATGAGCTTAGACGTTAGAAACCTGTTAAAACCCAATCTTCAAAGAAAAGCTTGATCTTCTGCAAAACTAGTCTCGCATCAAAAACGTCAATTGTTATGGTGCTCGACAAGAACAAACGCGGAGATCGACGAAGATCAGCTTTAGATATCAGGCTGCTGTGTGCGTTAGGGGCTGTTAGGGGTGCCCGATACCAGGCTCCCGGCGGTATCCGTGGTCCGTGGACCATGAGCAATGATACATGTGATTTACATGTTCCGCATGAACAAAACTCAATTCACTGTCAGTCTGTCACCAGTGTCAGTGTCAGCTCGAACTAGTTTTATCGCAGATTTGAGAATGGGTGTTGCAGGGCTCTGGCCGGTAACCCTCTACTAATCTATGTCATATCCTGTCTCTTACAATGCTTTGCCAGCTTCTAGAACCGGCCCAATCTGTGACAACACTGAGTGCACTTTCGCTCACCAAATTCAATACCACCAGTCGTGGATATCGCATTGGTATCGATGCGTCTATCTGGTTCTTTCACGCAGAGTACGGCAAAGCAGGCGAAAACCCAGAGCTCCGTACAATCTTCTTCCGATGTGCTCAATTACTGAGACAAGGTTTCCTACCGTTGTTCGTGTTCGACGGTCCCTTGAGACCAGATATCAAGAGAGGCAAAATGATCCACAAATCTGCACACAAGCTGGTCGCTGGCATGCAGGCCATCATCGAGGCTTTCGGATTCGAGTACCGCACGGTGTGTTTTGTGAAGCGTTGAACAGTGAGTTCGATCTTGATATTCTTCATCCCAGGCTCCTGGAGAGGCGGAGGCAGAGTTAGCATTCTTGAATAGGGTCGGAATTATAGACGGAATTCTATCTGATGATGTCGACAACTTTCTCTTTGGCGCTCACACCGTGGTCCGGAACCATTCCTCAACTCATGCTGGCGCGAAGAGTGCGATCGAGAAGGCCAAAGTATACACCTATACCCTTCCTCATCCTGCACTCCCAAATTTTGGCCGTGAAGAACTTATCTTTATCGCTCTTTGCTCGGGTGGTGATTACGGTCCAGGCCTCGATAATTGCGGCATCAAGATTTCGTACAGTCTTGCGCGTGCTGGTTTTGGGAAAAGCCTTTGTCAGGCTGCACTGAATCATCATGAGCAATCCGCAGAGCTCAGAGATTCCCTTTCGCAATGGAAGAAGCACCTTGCACATGAGTTGGAGACCAATGCGTCCGGATTCCTGCCTCGAAAATCCCCTAAACTTGCAAGTGCCATTCCCGAAACATTCCCCGATATCAAGGTCCTGCTTGCTTATCTGAAGCCTACCACCAGTGAGAGCCTTGGCCGTTTGGAGCGATATGATGACCTCCAGGCGGGTTGTGGCAGTAGCGACGGTTGGTTGAAGAAGGATCCATCCCTGCCGATGCTCGCTGAGAAGTGCGAGTTTTACTTTGAGTGGGGATTTATGGAGAGTATCGTCAAACGTTTCAGGACCGTCATCTTTCAAGGTGTTGCCCTCAGATTCATGCGTCGTGCATGCATACTACGACAAACAACAAGCTGTAGGGATGGCGAAGCAGTTGATTTTGACATCATCCGTTCTCACTTCGCATCCGGGTTTCACATCGAAGATCACAAGCCTTCGTGTCCTGCACTGGTCAAGGACATTAGTAGAACACGAAAGCACGAATCTACTTCAATGACACTTGAATACCGAGTTGCTATCAACCCTATCGTCCTAGTTGATCTCACCATTCTTGGAGTCAAAGGCACTCGTCGACCTGATTACAAGGACGAATGGGCGGAATTTGAAGAAGCTGCTGTGGACCCGTCTGATAATGAAGGGGCTACCAGAGGGAAATCCAAACAAAACGGATACTCAGACCCTGCTCTACCGCTAAAGTTATGGCTCCCTGCAGTAGTCATCAAAGAAGCAATCCCAGACGCAGTTGAGGCTTACGAGGAGGCACAGAAACACAGGGAAGAGGAAAAGGCTGGAAAAGGAAAACGGATGAAAGCAGCGGGAGATAGGCCAAAGGTCAAGCCTACGAAGAAACCGAAACCAAAGCCAAGCTCTTTGGTTTCATCCATCAAGGAGAAATCATCCCTGTCCCGATCAGACATCCGAAGTGACAAGTATCTCGATTCATCCGACGACGATATGGAATATGTTGACCTGTTCCTTCTCAAACGTCCTTCTCACTCGACAACAACTCCCATCCTAGACGATTCTTCTTCTAGTCATGATTCTTCTCAGAACAGCCATTCTAGCCGCTACCGACTTGATCATACACGCCACCAAGCTCAATCCTTGCACAAGGTCTTCGGAACACCCGAACATGATAAGGGTAAGCAGAAGGCTGTCGCTGTGCCTAGACCTAGTGACCTTCTCTCAAGGCCAGACGACATTGCTCTGCCAATTCGGACAGATGGGTCGCGACAACGACCCCAATATCTGTCATCTTCACTTCAGAAGTTGCCACAACCTTTTCCTGTGTCACTCAACGACTCGTTCGACGACGATAGTGATGTTCTTGATTATGACCATGAGCTGAGGCACCTTTACACTCAATCAACCGCACCTCCCAGCCCACCACAAACCCTCTCACTGCAAAAGAAAACCCGGAAGGCGGATACATTCACTTCTAGCTCAGAATCAGCTTCAGAGAATGAACTGGGCAGTCCAACGAGGGGAAAGTATGGCATATTGAATAAATCGCCACGCAAATCGAAGGACCACGGATATCCAAAAGGTCTTCAGTCCGGTGCTTTTGACCAGGCTCGTAGAACGATACGCGATATTCCGCATGCCTCGCGGGCTACAAGGGCGGGGTCTCCTACGCCCATGAGACATACTACCTCAGTTAAAGGTACAGCTATGCATGTGGGTGCCACTATGGTCGAGAGCACGAAGGTTGCTCCCACTTCCTCTTTGGCATCATCGCATGTCAGTGATCGTTGTCCACCACCACCAAAAGACCTCATTTTCATATCCGACTCAGAGGATGAGGAAGAACAATGGACAACGATGAATACACCCACATCGCCTTCGAACCCTATATCCAAATACCAACTTAAACCAGGACGTCAGCGTGATGTTAACCTGGCGTTTCACCGCGCGAGAGCGACAGGTCACGACAAACACGACGATGATCACGACGACCCCCCACAAAATGAAGATCAAGAAGTGGTGTATATCATTGAAGACGATTCCTCTTGACCCCATCAATGTTTCATATTTTGTGCTTCGTTATCTACATATTATTTTCTATACAACCTGATATCAAATCATGTCTACGTCTAATTAAATATCTACGCAATTGATTGGATCTGTGAGGCCTACTCTCGGTGACTTCGGTATCTCAAACAATGCGAGTAAATTCTTTGTCTTTGGAAGGTGCGCTTTGGGAAGCTCCAAGCACTTAGCAGTCGACACTTCTTTGATCTCTTGGGCTCACGTGGTTTGTGCAAGGGACGTTGTCCTTCAAGTTGCTCTGGTCAGTGGTTAGTATACCGTATAGCTGGACATTAGTAGCTCCGCAAGTGTTGCGCTAACAAGGTTTGTGTATATCTCAGCGAAATCATTTGTGCAAGATTTTTTGTCTCCCAAAGGCAGAATCTCATACCTCTTGACAATAACGAGTCGAGGTATACAGAGGAAACAACTTTTGCGGCAGTCTTCCTGAGCAGTGGTTTTTTTTCCACGTTTTGAAGGAGCGGGACAATCATATTTCAGTACCTACAGAATATCTATGTAAGGTAGGATGTATTATTACAATGATCATTCTCAAACTATGTCTGCCTAGCTCAATGGTAGAGCATTCGATAGCAATAAGAAGGATGATTAAAGATCTTTGCATTATTTGAAGTATGCATATTGCAGTGAATATTGCGTTGTGTAGTCGCAATGTTTTAATGACAGATATGTCCACTTGGCTCAAGGGTAGAGCATCAGATAATGGTGTAGAAGACATTTCGAGATCTGAAGTATGCGAGTTCGAATCTCACAGTGGACACTCCGTCGTGGATGTGCAGGGTGATTTTTTCCACAAATTTTTATTCGCGCAAGGCGTTTAATATCCTTTCAAAGAATGAAAGAAGCTAAGGCGCTTAAAGGCGCTTAAAATCAGATATGCGTGCATCGCCGTTACCAGTATTGAGTAGGCCTGGCAGAAGTGAGTCAGGATAGAAGATACAAATTTGATGTTGATACACACAGGCATCATGGTTTCAGGAGTTCTCTCCGAGTACAGTTCAAATCTGTGCTTGAATTGTAGACACAGCTCAACCAGTTTCAGTTGAGGCATGGTTTTTCTTGCAAGCGCGATGTATGTTGTCCGTTTGGAGGGCGTAGAACTCTTGGGGTCTGAAGGTATGTCAAAGGCAGCTAGGAAGGTGATGTGGCAAATTCTGATAAGTCCCCCAGGACAAATGTTGGAACTCCAGGAGCAGACAAATCAATGCCCCCAATGGTAGTCATTACTAAAAAACATTTTGAGTGGCAGTGTGGCGTGAAGAAATGTATTATGTGGGCGAGGCAATATCTGGTTCATTTGTGCTATTTAATGGAATTCTAGTCGGACCTGGTACTAAGGTTATCAGTGATCAAAAATATCTCAACATTGTCCTTGATTAACTACTTCTGCATGTGTGGACCATAGAGTGTGGTCTGAGTACGATGTCGAAGGCAAAAAAAACAATTCAAGCTTTATCATTCATCGCGGATCCGAACTCAAGAACACATTTCCCGGCCGTAAAACCACAAATGAATTCTTCTCTTCCTTACCGCCATGTAACTCAAATTCATTCTACCATCAGCACTCAGAGGCACTCATGTAGCACCAGTCACTTTCTCGAAATATTCGAGAACGCACAGTCTGCGGAACAAGTACACTCGTTTAGTTCAACACAACTCGAAGCAGCGGATAAAGGGACTTGAGGCGATGTTTTTCACTGGTTGAAGAGTCTTCCCGAAGTAAGCAGTACTCTTTTACAACTAATGCTTCTGTTTGAAACAATGAAAATCACTTCCAGGTCATCGTTACAGGTGCATATCACGTCTACTTCACCCCAAACCTCGGGTATCCCAACAAACTCCACCAGGTCGTGCCAATTCGAGCAAGTCCTCGTTATTTAATGGCGTTTTAGGGTGTGAAGATCTGATTCAGACAAGTTCAAAGCTACCTGCAGGGCTGTTCTGGAAGTTTTTGAAGAGGAGAAGCGCGTCCTCAGAGTGCAGAAGATGAACTAACGTGGACGAACACACCCTGTCCCTTCACTCTCAAAGTCGATCTCGACCGCTGCCTCATCAACCGCGTTCGACTCGCAACCCCCTCCTCTATATCCTTTTATATCCAATACTACCGTTGTCGTCGTCTTCGCTGATCAGGTGGACTGTCCTATAAAATAAATCAGCAACTGGTAGCATACGAACAAAACCACGTCACTCGTTTTGAACCTTAACGTTCTTCTTCGTAGGTCGTTCGTCCTCCGAGTCAGTAAACGGCGTATCGTACCATTCTGGAGGAGGCTCAGAGAACCTGCGAATTTAAATCGCCGATGGGAAGATTTCGAAAACTCTCGACGGGGATGATACAAAGTATAGTGCGACCAGTAACTGGCCACACCAGACCCCTTCCTACACTGAGAGGATTAATCTTCACCATCAATTCGTGACGGAGATGTTTTGATGATCATATGCATTCAAAGAAAAGCAAGAGTGTACTCAGCAAGCACCCGTTCGGGCAAAGAAAATTCCTGTCTTCTCGTCTGAGGCAAAAAAAGTCTGTAGGAGAAGGTTAGCATCGGACTGAGCGACGTTGACGAGACAGATGATATGAGGAAAAGCTGGCCGTCATCACCTCCTGGATATCGCCTAGTTTAAGCCTGAGCCTGGGATCGGTGTTGCAAAAGGGAAGGAGAGTGAGGAGAGTCGGACGCTGTCTCCGTGTCCCGAGCAAAACTTCACCGTTGTAGACGAAACAGAGGTGAGACCAAGTGGACATAAAGCTCGCTGTTCGCGTTGGAAATGAGACCCAGCTAACTGTCGCCAGTAGTGGGGAGCGTGGAGATTTTGAAAGGAGTACTAACATCGACCACTGTCTTGTCAACCGCGCGCAAAAAATAACTAATGGGTGCTTGGAGTGACCTGGTCTTTGCTTTCATTTGCCTCGTTTCACGCGCAAGGCCTGCGTTGAGAACGGCCGTCATTTTCCGGTACAGCGTAAGGCGCATATAATCCAATCTGCTACGGTAGAAGTGCTTTGTATCTGAAAGTTCGACAAGAATGGGAGCATATACACAGTCTGGAGTTAGAGAAAGGCACGCACGATTCGGATTTATCTAGCAGCTACTTCCTTTACAAACGCCTCGTATTTGGCTTATTTCTTCGTTCAGTTCTTTCCTGTTGTTGCGAGTCCTCATGAGCAGCATGTTGAGCTCTAGGTGCTTGTGATTGCGTGTTTGATTGAGTCGAGTTGCTAGCGATTGGGATTTGAGGACGGGAAGATGGGGTCCTTGAAGAAATTTGAGGAGGGGAAGGTGGAGACGTCCATGGAGATGCTGAGTTGATGTGTCGAGTGTTGATGCTCTTCGTTGAGGCAGATCTGAGACGAGGCCTTTTCTTGATTTGAAGTTGATGAGAGTACGAGGACAATATGTGAAAGACATACCCGTCACGACCCACGTGGCAGAAATCACAAGCTGCTTCTTGTTCATGGACCACCGAATTCGTACTATGCCCGGTGCCGCGTCCTGATGGCGTACAGCAAGCCTTCCGCAGACGTGCTCGCTACATTCATCTACTTTTACCTGGATTTCCTCGCTTATTTTCCTCGCTTACTGTTTCTACGTTTGTTGTTTTAGTTGTCTCACAAGCTCATATCCTGGCGAGCAGAGAAGGCATTAAGAATTTCGGTGCCAAACCCAAGTCCGCGTGTGCTCGAAAAGCCGTGGAGGTGGAGCATGGACAAGTGTCGGATGAAGTATATGATACTCAATTTCAGCGTTGTATATTTCCAAACGGTGTATCATTACATGATTCTATGAGGATGTTCCCGAAGAATTCGGTTCATTAACATTTGTGTGCGTGCATGAACACACGACGATAGCAACGATAGCAACGATAGAATACACAGATCCTAAAATAAACAGACAATACAAGGATAGATGATCTGAGGCAGTTCATTAAGTAGGTTGCGTTAAATTCTGACCATCCTATACTTCCTCCCCTCTACTGCTTCCTCCCAATCATACGACTGAGGCTTTCCCTTACTCCATCCCATGACCCAATCCTCGACTGCACTCTCGCTTTTGTCACCTTCCCCAGTTGTCCTGTTGTTGTCCTCGTTGCCGTTGCTTCCACCTACTCCCTGGCCACTAATCGGCCATAATTTCTGCAATCCCGTGCTGTAATGAATGATGTCTTCTTCAATCGCCTGCTTCACTGCCTGGGCGGTGATCGTCTTGTCTTCTCCATACATCCCAATCTTCTCAGCCATCACTTTCTCATACACCAGCGCCTGTGCCTGCTTGCACAAATACAACCGACTTAGGTTCTTCAGTCGAGTGTTCGTCCCAAAAGTGTCGTTGGAACCACGAGATTGATGAAGATGGAAATTTCTCGATACCCAGCTCAGCAGGTCGGACACCAGGAGATTGGCATGCTGTGTTTGCACCTTGAAATCGGGCGGCACGACGAAGTTGGTGGCTTGAGTATACCGCCCACTCTGTTCTCTATACCGGCGGACATCCAGCACAGGGATCAGCCTAACCAGATTGACCAGAGTTAGGAACTGTATGGTGTCTTCCATAAGATTGAAATTGGGAAGATGAAGCATGAGGTCATGCCCTAATAGACATTTAGCTTCTTGTCGCTGAACCGGGAAAGGAAAAAAAATCACCGTCATCAGGCTGCCAGCCAGGTGTATTCTTGACTTTCTCGAGGTTTTCAAGATATGTCTCACTCTGTATAACAATAGAATGGTGCCAAAAGGTCGCGATGCTGATCAGGCCCTCGAGTGCGTGATGATCGACGGTGTTGGTAATTGTACTAGCTGCAATAAAATTGTGAAACCAGCTGTAGGCCGTTCTGGTCAACGATAGATAGGAATAGAAATGACCGCCATGACAAATGGCGGGAGATGGGGTGAGTACGAAATGAGGGGTACATGGTGGCATAATTCTGCACAATTTGTCAGCTACCATCGCAGGGATGATCGAAATCGTTTGAATGACTCACAGCATGTCGCCTGGTTCTAAAATGAATCCATACAGGCCCCACTGCTGGCCGTTATGACCGTCAACTTCAAAAGCCTCTCCAAACATATCTGTGCTCGCAAAGTCAGACTCCTTTTTGGGCACCGCTACAACCCAATATTTAGAACCCGTATGAGGCACCACCCATGTCCCGCGGCCTTCACAGTCAACATGAAACTGGTGGACGGCGTGTGATGTGGCAAACAGGCCCCAGGACAGGCCCGTTTTGTATGCCCGAGACAATCCAGCTGCGTCAGCTTGCTCCTGTGTACATATTCCTTCCGGGGGATGCACCCACGAAGCGGGAAGTGGGATTTCAAGGCAATTAACGACCTTGTTGCGCAATGTGACGGCCTCTCTGACATCTCGGAGAGTTCCATGCGTGTGACAATCGGCCGGTTTTTTCAGGGTACGAGAGGCATCTATTAAGAAGGACATGCAATGATAAACGTTGTAAAATTAGCAATCCACTTACCATGCAAGGTACGAGATTTGTCCAAGTCACCCAACAGTCGCTCAATATGGTTTTCGTTCTCTGCGTGGTATTTGTCACGCTCTGCAGCCCTTCCCCGTATGAGGAGACCCCCACGTGCAATTCGGTACAGTGCATGGCGTTGACGTGCGGTCATGACATCCCATTCATTGACAGAGACTTCTCGAATGGGATAGGTGATTGGCGGCAGCCATTGCGGATTTGGCTGGCCATCATCGAGTATCCGGCCATCTGTTTTGGCCTGCGAGTGAATGATGCTCATCACGT